TAAATAATTAAAATAATTTGTCCTTATAAATATCATGTTTTCACGAATAAAGGTAAATTAAACCAAATCTGAGCATTTTAACTGGTTATTTTTCTTGGAAGATTTGTTTGTGTAAAGCCTTTTTTTTTTTTTTTTTTTGGGCAGAATAAAAATAAAACTCGTTTGAAATTAGTGAAGGGGTAAAATGATAAAATTATATAAGGATACGAAAAGATACTGAGAAATTTCTTTAAGCTTTTTCAACAAAAAAAAAAAAAAAAAAAAAAAAAAAAAAAATAAAGAATTTTCCCCCTCCTTCTCTCACTAGAAAAGGAAATAATAAAAATAATTACCCAAAAGTCAATACGTTGTCATTATTAAAAGATAATTAAATATATATTTCACATATATTTAATCGGAATATCACCGTGAATCCTTAACCCCGTGTTGTTCTATATCTCATCTCTCATTTGATCAACACGACATATTTTCTTCGAGAGAAAATACCCCACCAAAAAAAAATATTCTTTTAATAAAACAAGAACATTCCATTCTTTTTTTATTTTTAAAAAAAAAAAGAAAAAAAATATTATTTTTTTCTTTTTAAAAAACTTTAAAATCTCATTCTCTCAAAACTCAAACCCACTTATATACTTTAAAAAAATCCTAAAAAAGATTTCCATCACTTAACACCCTAAGCCATTTATATAAAGAATCCATTACTCATTTAAGAAACGATTCCTCAATTGAACCTTTAAGACTAAATTTTTAAAATCCGCTCCGAATAACTAATGTAAGTATAGTTTCCATTATGAAATAACTGTTTAAGGAAAATAAATGTTTAGCGGATATCAAGGACTTTATATAAAACTTTGGGATACAAAACGCAGTAAAAGAACACCAGAAAGCCACGCGCGCCACGGGATGTCGATCTGTTCAAAACAAAATTAGTTAGCATTGGATGTTGCTAACACGAGAGAAACGCAAGCTACTTTTTTTTCGTTTTTCTTTTTTTGATGTGGTAGATAACAAAAAAGAAAACAGCCAAAATGCAATATAAGCATAGCAAGAGAAAGACCTTGTTGTTAATGACGAATGCTTTGAAGTTTGAAGATCATCGTTGTGAAATTTTTAAATAATAAATTCACAGTCTGACATGTGAAATCGAATTTCATTATATCAACACAGAAGCGGTCCTTTGCGTAACAAAAAAGAGTCGAATTACCTATTCAAATTAATTATTAACCTTTTTTATTAATAACGGTAAGACCTTCTTATACCTAATCACTCCACAATCTCATGTTAATACGTTGTCATTGAACTATTGCGCCTCTTTATACATATTTAAAAAAAAAAAAATGGTAACATTACAAACAAATAAATAAAGGGCGTTTTTTTCCTAATACTCTCTTTTCTATCATTTTTCTTTTATTCTTATTCATTTATTTTTAACTCTATTGTTCGCTAAAAAGTTTCTTTTGAAAATTAACAAAAACTAACGCCGTATGTATTTCTATTTGTTTTTCTTTCTTTCATAAAAAATTGGGGTTCTTTTTGGGGTAGTTTGGTGATAATTATAGATACGAATATAGCCACAAGAAATTCAATTCTATCCAATTAGTTTCTGTGCTTTGATTTCTGTTGTAAAACCTGCTCGAAAAAGTTAACAAACGAAAAAAAAAATTTTTTTTTTTGAGGAAAAAAATATCTCATTCAATTTTTTTTATAACTTACTTCTTAACTTTCTTTTTCTCAATTGTTTCCATTTTTTTTTTTTTGTACTTTATCGCAAATGGATTATTTGTTCAACTTAGTGTTTGGCCGAAACATCATCGAAAAAAAACCTCGAAATCCAGCCAAACCAGCCAAACCAACACCTCCATTTGTTCCATTTTCTTCAAAAAAATCGGATTATCTTTACAGCAACAGCAATAGTAAGCAAAATAGAAAGTCACATAGCAACGCTTATTACGATAATCACAAATTTCATAAGGGTTCTTTCAATAAGACAAGATATTCATCAACCAAATCACATCATCAAAATCATCATAAAATGCCTCCTGCAGCATTCTCGACTTTTCACCCACATACTTCGGCGTTCGCTGCTGCGACGATGAACTCACCCAGCAATATTAACTCCCCGAATAAAACTCCTCAAAATAGAAGAGTGATTGATAGTGAGCAAAGATATAGAGTTGTGGATGATATCTGTGGGGAATCGAACTTATACAAAATACTTGGTGTTGAACAAACTTGCTCTTCGGAAGAACTTAGGAGAGCTTACATTAGTGTAAGTAATTTTCAGACTATCGGTGTTTTTTATGGAAAGGTTATTGAGAGGGGAAAACTTATTATATATAGAAACGTGTTTGACGTAACAAGATGGATCACGTAAATAGTTGAATTAGAAACAAAAAAATGGAAATGTTTATTAAATGGCAATTGGATTGTTTCTTTTGGCTTTTCATTAGAGATCACGAATCTGCCATCCTGATAAATTCCCAGAATATCCTAAAGCAACTGAAGCCTTTCAAAGTAAGTTGAATCGTTACGTCGTTTAGGTTTATTTTTCATGTTTCAACCGAATTGATCGTCTAACATCTTTCCTTTTTTTCCCCTTTGATTTAACCAGAATTGGCATACGCATATGAAACACTAAATAAACCATCTTCGCGCCGCGCTTATGATATATCGGGAACGAGCGACCTTGGTAGCGTAAGCGGCATGGGCGACGAGACATTACATGGCGTTTTATATCAAGTAAGATAAGAATGGTGAAAAATGTTTTTATTTTTTTTTTTTTTCCAAAAAAAGAATTTACCATTTTTTTTTGGACAGTTATTCTTGGAATTTATGGATGGTGACTTCGAAATGATCCGTGCTTTAGTCAGTGAGTATATGAAGACTAATAGTATTTTCACTACTGAAACGACGGGGATGGATATGACACCAATCAATAATGAATCATTCCTAATATCACGTGCTCAAATCATTGCTTTTATAGATGCTCTAAATGAAGGCAATCCTGGGCTTAACCTAGGTGATGATGCCATTGAAACTTTGGAAACTGCCTTTCGAAGAATGAGAGAGTTACTTTTAGGTAAATATCGTCGATCTTATCGCGTTCGTCTTTTGATTCATTTTCAATTTTTTTCCTAAATCTTCTACTTTTGCTACCTTGATAAAAGCTGGAAAAAAGTATGTTAAAGTTGTACAATTTGAGCTCATCCGTTTGTATGAATTACAACAACTATTACGGTCACTTTCATATTTTGACGTGTTTGGTCGTTTGCGTGTAACCATGCAATTGGCAAGATCAACACTGACCATACCGATCCTCGTTGATAATGCAATGAAAGAAGAATTTGATACGTTAGGAAATAAAGGCATTAATAAAGGACTTTTAGGTGATGGTATGGCTAAAGTGATCACTAGTTTAGTGGCAGTTTTGGAAAGGGGTGAACAATACTTTTAAAAGGAAAAAAAAAATAGGAGAGCAAGGTTGTTGGATAGTTTCTCTCTTTGGAATATATATTTCATATTAAGATATTCCCTTTTTTTTTAAAAAAGAAAAATTTATGCTTTATTCTTTTTTTGGTATGTTCATCATATAACACACATTTTTTCCTTAAACAACATCAACATGACACCTTTACCTTAAGATGGAAATTCTCAAAAATTCATATCCTCATTTTTTATAAATATAATTTTTTTTTTCTTTTTTAGACGTATAGTATTTTTTTTTTTATACAGAGTATATCATAATATATTTATATATGTTATATATGCGTGAATTACACGAACAATTGAAAAAGAAGGCGATGGGTTTTTTTATTTGTAGAGTGATATTTTTTAAAAAAAAATCATTTTAAACTTCAATCAATTGTTAAATTAGCGTTTGTATTTAAAAAATATTTTCACACTTATTTATATATTAATAGTATTAACCATATCCCCATCCCCACTTTTGTATTTAGTTTCTACTCATTTATAATTAATGCGCGCGAGATGATTATTATATATATTTTTTACTTTCTTTTTTTTTTATCTTTATTTTTAAAGTGATATTATCAAGGGTCATATACATACGTACATATAAGAAACCTTTGGTAATATTGCCTCGCACGCTTTAATTTACATTAAAAAAGGAAGAAAAAAAAATTATCGTTAAAAATATTAAATATATCGAAATTTTCTGTTACTTCAAAAGAATTCAAATATTTTATCACGTGTACGCGAAATTTTTTGAATGAGTGTCAATTAAAACTCGGTATGTAGTAAACTTGTAAAAAATTTTAAACATTTGAATAGAAAAATTCAAAAAGTTTTATTATGTCAAGTATTAAAAGTTTTCTTATCTCTTCCTTTCTGTCTTTGACGTCCGCAAACTCTGTTGTGTATAAATGTATAAAAAAATTTTTTAAATCTGTAAAATATAAAAGAATAATAAAATATTGTTTTATAAAGCTTCAAGAGATATAAACAGTTGATATATAATTTATGAAGAAAAAAGTAAACAAATAGCCGAAGATATTGAGAAATTTAAAATTTAAAAAAAAAATTTTGCTGCCGTAGCAGCTATCCACTCAAGATAACGTGTCATCCTTGTGCAGGGGCCATGCTAATCTTCTCTGTATCGTTCCAATTTTAATAAGTGTCGCTCCGAAGAGACGACACAATAATACCTGACGTTAAGTTTATATAGGGCTACAAAATTTGTTTCCATAAAATTATGGGATTCCAAATCACATGCCGAATGTATTTGACGCGATTTTTGATTGGCCAATTTTAATGTTGATTGGATGTCGAGATGATCGGCGGTTGTAGTAAAATCGTCTAATCTATAAATAATGTTCATCTCATCTATTTCTCATTCTTTTTTTTTATTTTATCATGTTTTCTTCTAAATTAAATAAAATTACTTTGCCACTTTTACGAAACAAACTATTTTACGAAACGCAACAAAAATACTCACTCTATTCTATATTGCTACGACACCATAGTAATAAAAAGTAATGTAATCTCAAACTGAGTTTTCACTTTTAAAATTTTTATTTTACTTTTTTTTTTATTATTATTATTAGGTTGAGTATCCATGAAAAAACCGTGCAGCTGGAAAAAGATATCAAGGAGCTGGAACAAAAAATATTAAAGTTTGATAAAAAAGTTACAACCTCGAAGGTACTGCCTGAGTTAAAACACTTTTTTTTTAAAAAAAAAAAAATATTTATTATATTTTTAATATATTGATTGATTAGGCCGACATTCAACAACCATTTTCAGAAGATTTTTACACAAATGTATATAAAGCAATTTCCGGCCCTTCCGAGCCTCTTCCTCGACGACTTCAATCTAACTTCACAAATAATCTTAAATTACCGATGGATTCTCTCCAAGTAGATCAAAGATCGCCTTTTCCTTCTATTAGTGATTTGAAAGCATCCAAGCAGGATCAAGCAAATGCAATAACTCAAATGGACAAAGAAAATTTGGAATCCGTGGAACAATTTAATAAATGGTTGTACGCTTGCGTAAGTTTATATCTTTATTTCTAGATCTTTTATATTTTGCTAATCTAAAAGAAAATAATTTTATTTTTTTTAGGCGTTATTGAAACAGCCTGATGAAGTCTTGGATGTATTTTTGCTGATGGAGGTTAGAATAAAACAAAGAACGTCGTTCCCTTAATTCGCGCATTTTATATTCTAATCAAATGAAAGTTATCTATTTCAGAAAGCAGGTATTACCCCTAATATCATTACGTATGATAATTTAATAAACCTTTTTGCTTCTATTGGAGATTTACAAAAAACAATCGAATCATTTGAATTGATCGAACCTGGCAAGTATCTAAAATCTTTTAAATATTTGATTTAATTTGATTTTAATATTATTTGTTAATCTAATATCATATATTTATTCAGCTGGTCTAAGGCCAACGGTACATAGTTACGCGAATTTGATTAAAGCGTACGTTAAAGATAATCGAGTCGATGATGCATTTAATGTGTATTCAAATATGAAAAAAAGTGGGTTGATGCCAACTCAGGTAAACTAATATATTTAAAAGAATCTTTTTTTTTTTTTTTACTAATATTCTTTTCTAAATTTTATTCGTGCTTTTTTTTTAAAAAAAATAAATAAATAAATTATAGCCTATATTTACAACCCTTATTAAAGGGTGTATTGATAACGGAGAAATAAAGCGTGCATGGACAACATTTGATCATATGCGTTTGGAAGTGTGTCAACCTGATGAGGTTACATACAGTTTAATGATTCGCGCGTGTGCAAAGGTCGGTATATAAATAAATATTATGATCTGATTGAATAACCACACACTTATTATTTTCATATATCATCATATAGGAAGAAAATTCTGAAAGGGCTTTTGATTTATACCAAGAAATGAAAGAAAAAGGATTATATCCAACTGACGTGACATTTAATTCTTTGATTCATGCTTGCGCAAAGAGAAAAGATATCCTTTGGTATATTTGATTCATTGCCCTTGCTTTTATATTTAATTTATATATTCTTAATTAAATTCTTACATTATTATGAAGAAGCATTTAAAATATTACACGAGATGGAAGAATTTGGTTATCAACCCGATATGATTACATATAATTTATTGATGTTTGCATGCTCAAAGAATGGAGATTTACAAATGGCTAGGAATCTGTTAATATCAATGATACGAAGGTGAGATTTATATATGCGATATTATAGATATTTTATCTACGCCCAGTTAACCGATCACGATCGCTTTTTGGTTTATAGTTCAAAGACCTATCCGTCACTAACCCCAGATGAGTATACATTTACGAATTTATTTTGGACGTATTCTACCTATAAAGAACCCATGAATTATATAAGTAGAGATCAACGAGAAGAAATATTAAGAAATAAACAATTAGAAGCAGAAGCGGAGGCAAAGCATTTGTTATCGGGAGTTGAAAATAAGGACAATTCTTTGAAATTATCTCAGGGGCAACAAATTGATCAGAGAGGTCTGTTGGACGAGAATGAGATTGCAGATATGAAAACTCATTTGTTATCTGGATTCGAAAATAAAGATGTTGCTTTGGAATTTTCTCAGGTACAACAAATTGATCAAAAATGTCCGTTGGATGAGAATAAGATTTTAGATTTGAAAACTCATCAAGGACTACAGTCCGAATTAGAAATATCAAATGGGTCACAACAAGAGAAAGCGATTTCAGAGAATAAAGATTTGTTAATAATCGGATCAGGTACTTATCCATTATTGCGCAATGTACCTGTTACTTATGCACAAACGGTTACCGAAGCGGAAATGATTTTCAATTATATAATCACATCGCAAACAACGGAAATGACAACTTCATTTTCCACAACATTATCACCAAAGTTAATTACCTCATATTTAGGCGTTCTAATTAAAAAAGCCCGTTACCCCAGCGTATTTGATTTTTATCAAAATTTAATACCAAAATTTAATGTTAAATTAAACGGATGGATATTTTTAAGTATATTAGATGTATGTTACAAACACAAAAGGGTTGATGAAGCTTGGAGCATTTGGAAAGATTGGGAGAATTGGCGCGAGCAGCAAAACGAAAAGGTTTACGAAAATGAGTATGTTAGAAAGAAAGCATTTAAAGAAATCGGAATGACTTCAGAAATGGAATACAAAACTTATAGATCAATGATCAAAATTTTGGCTAGGTAAAGTGTCAAAATATATTAAACTCTATCGCTTTAAAAACACGTTATCATAATATGTTATTTCAAAAACTTTTTAGGTGTAATGAAATGCAAAGTAGTATTAGATTATTACAAAACTTATCGAATTTACAAAGACCTGATATCAAAGACTTTATTTTATTGCTGCAAAAGTGTGTTGAAAATGATGATGAAATGGCACAAAAAAAAGTAATCGATTTATGTTATAATGATCCAGAAAGAAATAAAGTGTTGAAATCTAGAAATTTATTAGCAAAGAAATGGAAAGGACAAGGAATCAAATTACCACCTAAAAACAAATTCGAGGAAAGCGAAGGAAGGATGGGACGTTTTAATAAAAGAGGGATGGAAGCAGAAAATGGGAGAACAATAGGGATGGTGAAAAATGGCATCGGCATGATAGTAAATAAGTGATCAAGATCAAGATCTTGATCGACGATTATATATTAAGTTAACTCAATTGATTTCACTAATAAAAGTAAGAAAAGCTAAATTATAATTACGTCGCGTAAACAGTAGTGATTAGTACGTGAATAGTACTAGATAGTTTGATCACATGAAAATCCGAAAATGATTCAAGTATAATTAATTAGGTCAAAAGTTGTCGTGATTGATATTGGCTCGAGAATAATTAATGTCAAAATAGCATGTATATACAGTAATTTATTGTAATGTGAAAAAGAAATAAAAAAAAAAATATCCAATTTCGAAAATGGTCATAACGCGAGGTAATTTTCAATCTTTTGATCTCAATAACGATCAGCTTGAGATAAAGTCTACGTTTTTTGTGAAAAGATTTTAACCACTAATCTCAATTTCAAAAGCAATTTCTCCAACCTTATTTTTATGTCTCAAATGGGGAGAGATGCAACTTTCGTGGTAAGGATCTTTAGATAGATACTTTACGTAAATGATATAATTTTTTTTGCAAATGGTAAAAATTTATTTAATATAAAAGAAAAAAAAAAATCTATAAAATTAAAAATACAAAATTCTAATTATTATACTTCTATTATTATTGGGATCTTGGCCTTTCGTCTTCACTAATTATTTCGGCAGTAAAATCATAATCATCAGCTATTGAATCATCATAGAAAGTTTCATAAAGAACGTTATCATTAGCTTTATGAATAAGTTTATAAACTTCAACTTTTTCAGAAATAAAATGTTCATATTCCACGATTTTTTTTTCAAAGATTTGTTGCCTACATACACCTTTAATCCAATTTAAATCATTACCAAACCAAGGAAATTTCTCAGAAGTACAACCAACTTTATTAACGGTAGGTTTAATCCTACTATGTATACCCTTGGATTCATTTTCATCATCATGATTCATGTCTAAAGAAAAGATAAAACTATTTGCCAAGGTATCATATTTTTGACTTTTATTCCAAATATCAGCATTATAACCACCAATTATTTGATTAAGCCCGGAAGGTTTTATAATAACTACGGTTGGACCATGACGATTACATTTCTTGTAAAATTTGTTGATATCTTTTAATTCATCATGATCACTACGATAAAGTAACTTAAACATGTAAGGCATAAACTCGTGTTGATAGGGTTGAGGCTTTTTATCAATCCACGAAGAAATCAAAGAGAAATGTTTTAACCTGATTATAGTAGACTCTTCATCGGTGTACCTTAATCTCTTTGACAAAATTATTGAACGATTTGGTTTTCTATCTGCCAAATAAAATTCTCTCAATTCATTCTTTAATTCTTTTGTCAAGATTTTTTTATAGGGTCTTATTTTATCATGATAATCCGTTCCAGAGATCAAAAAAAATCTAATGTACGGGAAACAATTTGTCAAAGATGATTTTAATTTGTCAAATTCTTCCGTAGTCCAATTTTTTATATCATCCTTTTCTTCAGTATTTAATGAACATTTGACTTTACCCCATTTAATTACTTGATTCCAAATTTCAATCTCTTTTAAATCCAAATTATCACTATTCAATAATTTAATTAAGATGCTCTCCTCTAAATATCCGATATCTTTTGATCTCAAGAATGTTGATGAATCCTTTTGTATAATTTCTTCGCATGTGGTTTTTAATTTACAAAACGCTTCATGTTGTGATGAGATTCGTTGAATCCTTACTAAATTTTGTCGAAACCAAAACATTTCTTTTTTAAGAATATAATCGATAATGTAATCGATCAATTCGGTTAGCGCAAGTTCATCCGCTGCTATCAATATATCCAGATAATATGGAAGCATATTTTCCGATAAAGAAATTATTCCGGTGTAGATAAATCTAATTGATAACAATAAGGATGGAAAACAATTTTTTTATAAAAGTATCGACATTTTTTCTAAAAAAAAAAAAAAAATATCGGATTATTTACCTCAATACAATACGAAAAACGTCGGGTACGATATTTGGTTTCTTCATTTTAATAATACCATTGTCGGATTTCGCCCAATTAGTTGATAAAGCTGTGTGAAAATACGCCGATCTAGCCCTAAGGATGACGGAGTGAGCTTTAAAAATTTCAATATTTTGCTCTTGACCAACTTCAATCATAACATTATAATCATCTGCCTCCTGATATAATTGCCGAATATCTCGTACAAACGATTTTTCTAATTTATGTTCCATCTTTTACTTTTTTTTTGGAAAAAAAAAAAAATAAAATAAAAATAAAGTTCGATTCGGTTATATAAATAACAAAAAAAAAAATCTCTCAATATCCTTAATGGGGGGAGATTTGAAGGTGTTTTGTCAATAATGTTTCACTAATATATATATATATATATATTTTTTTTTTTTGATTTCATATGGTTTCCATAAAAAAATATATAGATAAGAGTGATATTCTACCAACTATCATATGATTTATTGTGCAGATTATGTTTAAAGTTATTTGGAAGGTTAGTATTATCGTAAACAAAATCAATCAAATGATTTTTTATATTTCGCCACGATTTCTTTGATTAAATCAACTTTTTCATGTTGAGAAAATCTGAAACCTTTGAATGAATTAAACTGATCACATTTTATTATTTTTGAAAAATCTTAAACATTAGATCTACAAGTCAACGATTCCTGAAACTTGGAAAAAAAATATGTATTTAATACAGAAGAAAGCATACCTTTGTTACGAATCAAATTTTTTGAATTTTTAATCGGTCTATGTGTAAATTTGTATTTGAGATTTTTTTACCTCCGTGTTAAGGATCTCAAGTATAGATTACCGAAAAATGTCTTTTATTTTGGTCAACCACGGAAATATCATTTCTCTCTTTTCACGTGTTTGATTAAATAAATATAAATCTTTTATCTTATTTCCTTTAAACGCTTGTTTAAGCGATAATTGATTACTTTTTTTTTTATTCATCGTTATTTAAATATAATCCTGATATTAAGCAAATTTCTATTATAATAATATATAGATTGCTTTAAAAAAATTTATCAAAAAAAAAGAATATTCTGCTATTATTTATTTTTATCTGTGTTTATTTTTTTCGTAAAATCCTGAATGTTTTTTTTCTCATGACCAAAACGGTTTATGGCGCAATTTCTTTAACTGCGCACCAGAAACCTTAAATAGAAAAAAAAAAGAAAAAAGTGTTTCGCTTGCAAAACGTGCACGTTTTTTGAAAAGTCATGTAGCGTCGTGATTCATTACTATTCTTAGTCAAAGATCACAAATTTGGTGAACTTTTTGGATAAAATCCAACCTACGAGATCACTGGTATTTAAACTTAGTTTCATTCCCCTCATGTCCGTAAAATTTTTTCAAAAAAAAAGGTTATCCGATGGAAGAAATCATACAATGATGCTATTTAGGATAAGATTTCAAATTCTTCGTAACCCTAGATTGCGACAATCGTCATCTGTAATGCAACGAAGGTTATTCAACTCGAATTTGAATTTGATAAAACGTCAATCAACGTCACCAATAGGATCGGAAACGAACCTGGTTCCGATGGAATCGATCGACAACAATGTAGGTCAATCATTGACGACGATATGGACGGATCAAGAATTAAAGACCCTTTTTGATGCTTTCTTTAAACATGGTGAAAATTGGAGACTTATTTCTAAAGAGTACTTTCAGCATCGTCGAAAGCTTTTGTCAATAAAAAACAAATGGAAACTTTATGGGACCGAAGAAGGTGTAAAGTTGCTTGAAGGTTCTAAACATGGTAAATATTGGAAGTTGATGTTTAAGAAATATTTTCAAGCAAATCAAACTTGGAATGGTTTTGTGAATTGGACTAAAGAGGAGGAGAGGATACTTAAAGATGATGTTTCAAAACATGGAGATGATTGGGAGTTTATCTTTAAAGAGTACTTTGAAAAACCTCGGGAATTAGAAAGTAAATGTAATTCTCATTTGTCTTTGCCTTGGGCAAAGAATGAAATAAAATTACTTGAAGATTCTGTCTCTAAACATGGTAAAGATTGGAAGTTCATATCCAAAGAATACTTTCAAGAAAGTCGAACACCTTTGGGATTATGCAATAAATGGAAACGTACTAATATTTGGACCAAAGTGGAACAAGTTAAACTCGAAGATGCCGTTTTAAAACATGGAAAAGATTGGGAATTTATTTCCAAAGAGTACTTTGAAACGAAACATTCAACTCGAAAACTAAAAAGCAAATGGAAATCTTTTTTTAAGGGTAGGACACTTGGAGATGCCGTCAAGGAATACTTTCCAGTAAGTCGAACACCTTCGTCATTAAAACATAGATGGGAACGTTCTATTAATTATTTGACCGAAGAAGAAGTAAGGATACTTCAAGATGCGGTTTCAAAACACGGAAAAGATTGGGAATACATTTCCAAAGAATACTTTCAAACGATTAAGACACCTAGGCTATTAGAAAATAAGTGGAACAATCATTGGACGGATGATGAAGTAAGGAAACTTGGAGATGCTGTCGCCAAACATGGCGAATGTTGGAATTTAATATCAAAGAAATACTTTGAAGCAAGTCGAACAATTTCGTCAATAAATCATAAGTGGGTACGTTCTATTAAAAATTTGACTGAAGAAGAAGTAAGGATACTTATTTATGCGATTAAAAAACATGGAGAGGATTGGGAATTTATTTCTAAAGAGTATTTTCAAATGGATCGGACACCTCGGGAAATTTCTAAAGAGTATTTTCAAATGAATCGGTCACCTCGGGAATTAGAAGTCAAATGGAAAACTCTTCTTAAGCGTTGGACGGAGAAAGAAATAAGGAAACTTAGAGATGCCGTATCTAAGCATGGTAAAGATTGGCAGTTAATATCCAAGGAATATTTTCAAGCAAATCGAACAGTTTCGTCATTAGAAGATAAACATAGTAGAAGTGAAGAAGGTAACATGCGATTTGATATGATCAAAGAGCATGGCACTGACCAGGAAAAAATCTTTGATTTGAAAACAAACATAGAGAATCAAGAAATTTATGATACAAAATCAACAAACGATAACTATACAAATATGAGGAATCAAGAATTTTATAATGCGGTCAAGCCATATCGTAAACGAAATAAACATTCGTGGACCCGAGAAGAAGAACAGACTTTACCAAAACTAATTAAAAATCATGGAATTAAAATAGCTGCCGAAATGTTGAATCGGTCTAAAAGGTCACTATATTCCCATTATAGGAACAAAGAACATTATTGTGATTCGTTAATGAATATACAGGAGAAATCGAATACGATTTCGAAGAAATTTCAAAAGGTTTCGGATGTTGGCGTTGCGAAAGATATAGAGACTTCGTGGATAAGAAATTTGGATGAAAGCTCTACATATAAATCAAGTTTACAACGATGCAGAATAAATTGGCAGCAGCTTTGTTTACAAAATTGATAACAACATGCAATTTATTAAAATTTTCTTCTAAATAAATAAAATTTTTAGAATTCTTGATGATTTTTTTTTTTAAAAAAAATTGTTTTTGATCCGCAAATCTCGAAATTATTCGATTGAGATTTTTTTCATTTACGAGAATTGCCTTTTATGGCAGTGATATATTTATTTGTTTTATAATCACGTGCCATATGATCGATCAGTCAAAAAAATTCGACATTTTCGTTATGCATCAATAAACAAAACAAACAATTCGAAAAGAAGAAATAACACGATTCCTTTTGACATTTCGGAATTAAAAATTTCGAGTTTTCAAACCAGCACAAACCAAATCGGGGATGCATTATTTATTGTGTTTATACAAGGGGAATTAACAAATTCCCCGAAAAATATATATATATATATATATATTTTGCCTAGCATTACAAATGAAGTGTAACCCAATTTTTTTTTAAAAAAAAAATTAATGAAAAAAAAAAGAGTTTAAAACTGATCTTGAATCCAAATTGGTAGAGATTCAATTACCTTATAGGAAAGTTTCTTTTTATAATGTAAATTAAAATGATATTTTTCTAAAAGATACCTGCTCAATTTTATAAATTGTAAACTGCCAACTCTATCGTAATATTCCATGATGAACAATGAATATTTTTTATGAGGATCAAAGATAAAGAATAATTCAAACGACGCCAATTGAATTGAGCAAGCACCCAAGAAAGTCTTAAGTAACTCCATAGTGATGGAGAGGTTAATGGATAAATGTTGTAAGGAACAAGGCAATGAATAAGCCAATTGACGGATAACGTCCGTCGTGAATAAACAATACTCCTCTTTAGGAGATTCTACATACAATTGCTTAAGAGAAGTCATCACAGACAATACTTTACTAAACCTTGATATGGTCTGAGATTTAATGATGATTCGCAAATGAGTCAAGTTCACCGAGTACTTTTTTAAATTGATAAAGTATTCGGGACAAAAATATTTACAGGAAAAAGTTTCCAAATTATTCGAAATCATTTGTAACAGAAAGGAAATTCCATAGTCATTATGAGTGTTAACGGTCAAACTTGCCGGTTGGTTTTGCAAATAACAAAGTTTCTTTATAGAAATGTTTGCATTCCTATATTTTAAGATGGGCACGTGGTCATTTTTATGGAATTCTTCAACTTCTAACGCGTTTAAATTTTTACAAACAACTAAAACTTCCATTAAACGACTTAATGTAACCCTACCAAATAATCTAATATGACTTAAAGAACCCGCCTGCTTACTTAATGAATTAAAGATCACCTTATCATGTCGAGGGATCCAAATTTCGTTTATCTCAAAACTTTTTAAAGCCCTTTGAGATCCAACTAGGTTCGCTATTGAATTATATATCGTTTGCACGCTAAATGCTGTATTATTTAAACGGAAAGATAAATGTTTGATATTCGTTGCGGATGATGAGATGGTATTAAGGAAATTTGGCCATGTAATCGAATAAATTTCATCCATGATACAACTTCCATTAAACCTAAATGATTGTATCTTATTCAATGAATTTTTAATCAAGGAATGATTTGACCCTTCTCCCTCTTCTCTTTTTCCTCCGAGTAACGATAATGAATGGTCTAATGTAAGGATGATCTGTCTTGATAAATGAGTCCGGTAAAAATCAAATATTCTGATACCTCGAGATCGAGAAAAGATCATGTTGACGATTACGCTGGATATGGCACATCTTTTTTCGTTCATATATAAAAAATCGATTTCGGTTCCGGTAACGAAATCTTCTAACGCAATCGCGAAATTGCAATAGATAAATGTCAATAAGAACGAAGGGTAATCAAATAATGGTGGGGATGGTTGGGTTGGAATTCGAATTTGTTGTTGGCGCAAGAGATTCTTCCCCGATTCATCCAAACAGCAGATATATGTACGTACGGCAAAGTATCCATAATAATTCGGTTTCATGAATGGATTGCTCCATAATACTGGTATGGCCAACCTACACCAAAGTCTGTTCACCAAGATGCAAGAATGCAAAGACTTTCGATCATCACTCAAATGATGGCGGAATATTTCATCCCATATGTCTGATATTAATACTGGTTTGGATTTTAAATTTGAAAATTTTGGAACCTTGAACTTTTTTAACTTGTTTTTTAACTTTTTTGAAAATCTTTTGGTAAAAAAGTTTTTCCGTCCCATTTCTTATGGGGGGGGGGGGGGGGAATATCGGTTGTGAGATAGATAGATAAAAAGAATGTGTAATGATGACGTTGAAAAGGAGAAGGGAGAGTATGAGTTGGTAAGGAGAATAAAGAGAAGAAGAAGATATTTTTTTTTTGTGTGAATTAAAGGAGCTCATCGTTTTATAAAAAAAATTCATGATTTGTCCGAATATGTGTGTATTACCCCATAAATTCCTAAAGCGGTAAAATAACCTTATATTCTTAATATTTTTAATATTCTGTAAATCGGATTATCCTTCTTTACTAAATACCAATAATAACATATTTGTTGTGTTGCTAAGTAACTACGTCACAGTTGTAAGTAAAAATAAAAATCAAATTATTTGTTCGATTTAAAAATGTGGCGTGGGAAACTATCACCTGTTCATCTGTTCTACTACACTAATTTATAGTAATTTATATTAATTAGTGTTGAAGTTGATAAAAAAATCGACGACAAAGAAATTGATAGATCCCGTGCAATTCGGATCGTGACTTATAAGTCTTTTTATCGTGATTCAGATGATGCCTAACTTCGGTCCGGCCGACCCATATAAGGATCATTAAACCCAATATTCATAGTGAGAGATTCCGTTTTTAAATCGTTTTAATTACAGTTTTCAGGAGAAAGGTTGTGTTACGTAATACGGGATTTAAAGCTTATTAATGTTTAAAATACATTTATCCGTGATGGTTAACTTCGTCTTGTATGACAAATCCAGGACTGCGATTCAATGAAACTAACCAAAAAACTCTTGGGTTGTTGTTCTTTTAACGTCTTGTTTTATTTTTATTTTTATATTTTTTTTTTTTTTTAAAAAAAAAAATTTGATTATCGAAAAAAAAAACGAGTTTGTTTGTAAAGTACAATATCTTTCATAAATTCTTGCAATTGGAATAACTGTTTTTAAAACATTTTTAATTGGTTGATGAATGATAGAAATTAAAATCTTATCTATAAAGTACAGTACATACATTATTATTACGGGGTATGCTTCTGCATGTATACACACAGATAATGTGCGTTCTATTAGTAAATATGCCAAAATCTTTATCTTTTCCGTGAAAAAGATCGTACAGTTCTTGTATTCCCAAAATTATATCTGTCTCATTTATAAAAAAAAATTTTCGATTTGTAAAATTCTCATTGGTTGAAACTATAAATAACAATAAAAAAAAAAAAATAAAAAAAAGACATGCATTTATGTAACGATGCGTGATAAATAATATCTTCGGTTAAATATTTTCCTTAAATTAAAAGAAAAAATTTCGCTGATGTTAAGAGGATCTCCCAATATTCCACAAATATACTGCCTCTCCATTGTAAAGATTGTTCAGACGCTAAAAAAGGTGCATCGCTTTCTACATTTATTTAGCTTCTCATCCTAGTTCTTTAATTGTACGTTTAGTTGTGAATATGTAGCAAAAGATTAACCGCAAAAAGAATTTCAAATAGATAGGGTGCGTTATTATAACGAAATGCATTAGCTAAATAAATTCCAGCTCCGGAATCAAGTTTTTTTTACCAATTAATGTTATTAAAATTAATGGTAATTTATTTTATTAAATTGCATTTGTTAAGACTTACTTCCTTCCAAAATTGGCCGGCAAATTGGTCAAGATGATCTGGATCCCCCCGATCTAAGTATAATCTAAAGGGGTAGGGAGTCAAGGGAGTCAAGATTGATTACCAGACCGATCCCAAGACCAACTCTCAAATATAAATCAATATGTATCATCTGTTAGACCAGCTTCTTTTTTAGAAATAAATTAGATTCAAAAATAGCAAGAGCAACAATACTTTGTAATAAATTGCTGATTTTTATTGACAATTATTTTCGATGTTGAAAATCATTATTTCATAATGGAAAAAATGAATATCAATCTTTGTTTTTCACTTCATTTTTCTTTTTTTAAAAAAAAAACTTTATAATTAATAAAAGTACATATATCAACAATTAGACGTTATTTTAGAGATTGCTAAAGGTCAAATAGATTAAGATTATTTAGATAACTAAATATTATTAATATTAAAATATTGTAAATTGTAAATAGAGTTAAGAAGTACAATGTTAGATACAACTAATATTAATTGTATTATTTTACAAGTAGTATCAACTTTATTATTATTTAATAATAAAATAAATTTATTATTATAATTATTATTATAAATAAATAATAAATATTTCAAACAGAGTTTAAAAATAATATTATATTATAATTAGTATAATAAATTATATTCCTTAAATTATATAGCAAATAAATTTGCCTACAAACTTAAAAAATGTTTTTAATTTCTTAATAAAATATAAAATTAATTTTAGTAATATCATTACTATATAATTATTTAATGTAAATTTTAAGTAGTATTAAAATTTTTAATTTTTTAATTTAAAAAATTAATTATAATTTTTAAAATTTCATATGATTTAAATTATTTTATATAAAAACTTAGTTTTATAATTACAAATTATATTATATTAAATTACTTTACTAAAAAAAATTGTAAATTTCTTAATAAGTTATAAAAATTATAATAAATTTTTCTTTATGATAAATTTTATAATATTATAACATAATTATATAATTAAAAATAATACTCTTTAAATAAATATAAAATATATTTTTATTTGGTTTTAAATTGGGAATTCTCTAAATATATTCTTCTTAAATGTATAAATTATATATTTTCTTTATAAAAGTATGTATACCTTAAGTATAAAAGAGTAGATATCACTATATATATATAGTGACATCTACTTGCGTCATAATGCTATCTACTTACAATAGTGCTACCTACTTATGTCAATAGTAATACCTACTTACTTATTTTCGATACTCTGTAACTTTTTTATACCTTGTAGTTATCCACTTGTTTTCATTATTCTATGGTTTTTTTGTTACCTTGTAGCTATTTGATTGATATCAATTTCCTGCGTCTGAATGAATACCAAATTCTATATTAGGGTTATTAGCCTTCTGTAGCTGTTTGAATACTTGGTTTTATGTTAAGAGTATTAGTCTTCTATGTCTGAATGAGTTCTCAATTTTATATTGAAGGGCTTACCCTTTGCGTCTGCTTGGTTACCTGTTTTAATATCAAATTGTGGTAAAAAATATGTTAGGTGGCTCAGTGTCAGATAAAGATGCCAGCCGAAACTCCCTCAAAATAATTTCGTCATATCCCTTACTATGTTTTTAATATAGTTTCGGCTAATTTCGGATTTCGGGGTTTCGTCGTACCCCTCACTATGTTTTAATATAGTTTCGGCTGTTTATTAATTGCCTTTTTTGAGTTTCGTCCCTCATCTTTAGTGTCAGATAATATCCAATGAAAATCCACATGATGTCATATGATCTGACAAATTTCGCCTAATTTTGGCTAGTATTATAGACTAATTTGACCTAATATTTGAGCTTTAATAACTCTGCATTCAATTATTGGATTTATGCGATTGTAGACTTGTTTGAAAGCTCTCTCTTACTCTATTTATATACCAAATTTGAGATAAATTGGATAATTACTTGCGAAAATATTCCATCACAAATTCTGGTAAAAAAATATTGAATAGTACTAGCTAGAATTTATCAGATCATCATAATTTATTGCATCTTAATGTCTTAATAGCTATCTATTAATAGCTATCAGTTATCAAATGTAATACCATGTATCTTGCTTATAATTTTAAATTAGTTTAATTTATATTGCTATTCTTTATTACTACCACTTACTCGTATCTATATACAATCAATATCCATTTGTGTAAATTTTTTACCAAGAATATTATTACTTAATACTTACTTATTATTTTTTTCATACTAAGCAAATAATGCTGATATAAAATAAAGCAACATATTTGTTTGCAAAGAATGTTCTCAGGTCATGTCAAAATATAATTTATTATGAATTGATCAGCATTAGAATAAGACACTTTGTTAGAGCTTACTATTTCATTCTGCTTTTTAATTTTCTGATAACTAGTTACATTTTTAAGTCTAGTATTTTCATTTTTAAACTCATTAACTTGTTCTTTTAATAAATCTATTTCCAATTGCATATTTAAAATCTTGCGAGTTAATGTAACTCAAATTGCATATCAGAGATCTGACGTCTTAATAGATAGTTTTCAAATTCTATTATTGCTATATTTATTTCAAAATAATTATTTTTTTGTATATTTTCAATATTAGAATATTACTAAAAGCAAGACATAATCTTTCTGCTATATTGTTTAGAAAATATGTATGCTGAATTTTTGATTAGTATCATAAGCATTACAACTTTTATATACTAACTTGTGACAGGTTTGTTATGCTTCTTAAGATTATTATATTATTTCATTTCTTTCTTTATTAGTTTCAATAGTATCACAAGTAAAAGAGTAATAAATTCTAGAAAAAAAATTTTTTTGTCATATATTTCTATGATATATGTGTGATGTATATATCATAGGAATTTTTTATGACAAAAAATAAAAAGTAAGTAGGAACTTCAAATTTTTTCCTATGATGCTATTGACATCTATAACGCTCATTAAAATGGGTTTTTTCAGATTTATATTATTAAATAGCTTATCATCTGCATTACAACTTCAGTTATAAGCTTTTTTTCTATTGACACTCATGCTAAGTTGTATTATTTTATATCACTTTTATTTACTCCTAAATTACCTATGTCGAAGCTAAGTCAGCCAGCTTTTTCTAATAGTACTAATTTATTTTATGATGCTTTCTAGCATAAATATTACAAGTGCTATATTTGAAAAAGGTTAATTTATCACATTTATTACAAGGTACATGTGAGGGAGAATTTTAATGAATTTGGCATCCTTCCAGTTGGTAACATCCCTGGTTGCAAACTTAATTACTCTTGAGAATATAAAGACATCGATAAAATGCCATTTTTGATATCTATGATTAGTTGTTTATATATTAATTTATATATTTCAGAATTAATTTTCATTTTAAACTTTTTTTCTTCTGGAATATATACTTTCTCTCAAACTGTATATTTGTGACATATGGGGCCTTTGCAATAGAAAGGGGGGAAACAGCCAAAAAAATCAAAAGTGAGTTAATGCTAAATTTGAACATATTTCAGCATAAAAATCATATTTGGCATATAAAGTAAAATTAATTTTTCCCGGCTGTTTCCCCCCTTTCTATTGCAAAGGCCCCATATTATCATAATCCAATCTGAGCTTTTAAAGTTCTTCGATGCTTTATTTCACTTTCTCACCCAGAGGCTGAAAAAGATAAAATAGAAAGCCAGGTAATTTGCTATTCTGATGAAAATTACTTGACTAGTATTTCAATCCGTAACAATATAGTCATGAAAATGATGAAGGTTTAACAGCAATTTTTGATAATGCTTTATCCAATTACCAAGAGATTCCTTTCATAGCTGTTGATTTCAAGGCTTCATCAGAAAAAATAGGTAAAAAGAACCATTATATTTTGCATCTTTATGGCTCTCTTATTAATGGTCAAAAAGCTGTAGTTACCCTTATAGGACTGCAGATATTTTTTGATATTCTTATACTAGATAAAGAATCTATAGATGATTTTAAAGATGAAATTCATTGTACTGCCATAAATGACTATAAAATAGAAAATATTAAGGTTTTCCATTCTGCAGGTATCATACAGCAGGGTTGGCAAATGACCAGGACTTTTGATAAACAGTTTGACCATCAGACCAATAAACTAGATCTTAATGGTCTATTGATTAATTGGTTTATGTGACGCAGCTTGCATTTTTATTGGCAAATAACCAAGAATATTTGAAATTATTTGAGATCATAGACTTATGAAAAGACCACAAATAAACTTTTAATTAATCAGGTCTTTTGGTCATTAAATAAAATTGATTATTATACAATATTCTTTTTCATTCTTTTTTTAAAAGTTTTCTTTATTATATTCAACTCTAATTTTATTTTCAATTAATATTATTATAATTACAAATAATATTTTCACTCTTTTTTAAAAAAATTTTGTAAAAATATCACCAATTAAAAAAAAAATATAAATTTTAAATGAATATAGAGAAAGCAATCCAATAAATAAACTTTGTATCTATAAAGAATGTAAAAAAATAAAAGGAGATGATGCTTACAAAGTTACTAATACAAAAAAATGTTGTCGACAACATTTAAAGCAATGTATTTATGTTCAAACTTCTTTACCTGTAGAAGAATATGATAAATTACTTTCAGAAATTAAAGAGGATGAAATTATGATAAAAATAGAAGAAATAATAATAAACATTTACAAACAGATGGTAAAAAAATTTTATTTTTTATTTAATTTTATAATATTTTAATTTATAATATTAAAAAAATTTTATTTATTTAGCTATTTCAATTTCTTCAAGATCTTTGGCAACTTCGTCATATGCATCGTCCAAATTTTTAGAATCTTCAAATTCAACAAATAATGATCAATATTCAACATCTATTTGGAAAGTTCCAAACACTTGAATTTCATAATTCTAAACCACATTCATCAGATATTACATTTTATATGCCATGTCGATTATCAGAATAAGATATTAAACAGTTTGAATCATTAATATTTCGAGTAACTATTTCAGCAAGGTTAACATTTACTTGGATCCAAAATGAAGAAATTAAAAAGCTAATAAAATTTATTAATCCTAGTATTACTTTATCATCCAGAAAAATGCTTAGCAATCGAATTTTAAAATCAAAAGCAAAAAAAGTTCAATCTAATATTGAAGATATTGCAAAAAATTATACAGTTGGGCTTACTATTATATTCGATAGTTGGAAAAATGTAGTAAAACAATCTATATTAGGTATTGTCATGATTACTTCATTTGGGCAAGTTTTAATTTAGGATGCAGATAATATAAGTAGTGAGAGAAACCATGAAATTGATGTACGTTCAAATGCAATCTTGGCTTGAAAAATTAGCGATAAGAATATAAATATAATTTGTGTAGTAACAGATTCTGCTGGCTCATATACTGCTACTAAATTTGTATTTATTTAAATAATTTGTTGTAATTATTATAAAAATTTATTATTTTTATTAATTTCTTTATTATATATAGGGCAAAAATGAGAAATGAAATTTTGATAAAGTTTTTTTATCATATTTGCTCATCAAATGAATTTATGTATAGGTGATATATTTAAAGAATCTGAAAGATACAAAACAGTTTTAATTCAAGCTATTGCAATTGTATCTTTTTTTAACTCATCAATATACTTTTTGGGAAAATTAAAATAAGAACAAATTGAGTTGAAGGATCATTTATATGCATTTCAAAGACCATACGAAACTAGATAGAATAGTCATTATTTTTGTATAGCAAGTATTTTAAAAATAGAAACTGCATTAAAGGTTAGATAAAAATTAATTAATAATTTAAAATTTTTTATTTATAATTTTATTTATAATTTTATTTTTATTTTTTTAGTTACTAATAACAAAAAATCAAAGACCGGATTATAAAAACGTGGTAATTTGCTTATTTCTTCTGAAATAACAAATATTGTAAATGATCAAAATTTCTGGTTTGATCTCAAAAAACTTCATAATTTTCTTATTCCATTTTGTGGTGCTCTTAATAAATTACAAAGAAATAATGCATAGCTGCATGATGTATTATATTATTTTGGCTATTTAGTCAAACTTTTTAAATATTATTATGATGAAACATTTGGTCAAAGAATACGTATACAGTTAGAACGAAGATAGAAATCATGGGAACAACCTTTACTTTTAATATCATTTTGGCTACATCCAGAATATCGTCTTAATAAGTTTAGTAAAAAATATGATAATCTTATATTTGATTTATCAGAATGGTTACAATATTATTTTGAATTATGGTTTTCTCAACCTGCACAACATTTATTAAATGAAATAGAAGATTATGAATCAAAACAAAGGCCTTTTGATGATATAACTTATCAATAATTTAATGGTGATATATTAAAATATTGGCGATTTTGTTCAAGAAAA